GGGAGAGAGTGGGGAGAGAGTGTGGGGAGAGAGTAGGGAGAGTGTGGGGAGAGAGTGGGGAGAGAGAGGGGAGAGAGTGGGGAGAGAGTGTGGGAAGAGAGAGGGGAGAGTGTGGGGAGAGAGTGGGGAGAGAGTGGGGAGAGAGTGGAGAGAGAGTGGGGAGAGAGAGTGGGGAGAGAGTGGGGAGAGTGTGGGGAGAGAGTGGGGAGAGTGGGGGGAGAGAGTGGGGAGAGTGTGGGGAGAGTGTGGGGAGAATGGGGAGAGTGGGGAGAGAGTGGGGAGAGAGTGGGGAGAGTGTGGGGAGAGAGTGGGGAGAGAGAGAGTGGGGAGAGAGAGAGTGGGGAGAGAGTGGGGAGAGTGTGGGGAGAGAGTGGGGAGAGAGAGAGTGGGGAGAGAGAGTGGGGAGAGAGTGGGGAGAGAATGGGGAGAGAGTGGGGAGAGAGTGGGGAGAGAGTGGGGAGAGAGAGGGGAGAGAGTGAGGAGAGAGAGTGGAGAGAGAAAGTGGAGAGAGTGGAGAGAGTGGAGAGAGAGTGGAGAGAGAGTGGAGAGAGAGAGTGGAGAGAGTGGAGAGAGAGTGAAGAGAGAGGGGAGAGAGAGTGGAGAGAGAGTGGAGAGAGTGAGGAGAGAGTGGAGAGAGGGGAGAGAGAGAGGGGAGAGAGTGGAGAGAGAGTGGAGAGAGAGTGGAGAGAGAGAGTGGAGAGAGAGTGCAGAGAGGGGAGAGAGAGGGGAGAGAGAGTGGAGAGAGAGAGGAGAGAGTGGAGAGAGGGGAGAGAGAGAGTGCAGAGAGAGGGGAGAGAGTGTGGAGAGAGTGGAGAGAGAGTGGGGAGAGAGTGGAGAGAGGGGAGAGAGTGGGGAGAGAGTGGGGAGAGAGTGGAGAGAGAGAGTGGAGAGAGTGGAGAGAGAGTGGAGAGAGAGTGGGGAGAGAGTGGGGAGAGAGTGGAGAGAGAGTGGAGAGAGAGTGGAGAGAGAGGGGAGAGAGAGGGGAGAGAGAGTGGAAAGAGAGTGGGGAGAGTGGAGAGAGTCGGGAGAGAGTGGAGAGAGTGGAGAGAGGGGAGAGAGGGGAGAGAGTGGAGAGAGTGGGGAGAGAGTGGAGATAGAGTGGAGAGAGAGAGGAGAGACAGGAGAGAGAGTGGAGAGAGAGAGTGAATAGAGAGAGGAGAGAGAGTGAAGAGAGCGGGGAGAGAGTGGAGAGAGGGGAGAGAGTGGGGAGAGAGTGGGGAGAGAGTGGAGAGAGAGAGTGGAGAGAGTGGAGAGAGAGTGGAGAGAGAGTGGGGAGAGAGTGGGGAGAGAGTGGAGAGAGAGTGGAGAGAGAGGGGAGAGAGAGGGGAGAGAGAGTGGAAAGAGAGTGGGGAGAGTGGAGAGAGTCGGGAGAGAGTGGAGAGAGTGGAGAGAGGGGAGAGAGGGGAGAGTGTGGAGAGAGTGGGGAGAGAGTGGAGATAGAGTGGAGAGAGAGAGGAGAGACAGGAGAGAGAGTGGAGAGAGAGAGTGAATAGAGAGAGGAGAGAGAGTGAAGAGAGCGGGGAGAGAGCGGGGAGAGAGAGTGGAGAGAGAGTGGAGAGAGTGGGGAGAGAGTGGGGAGAGTGGGGAGAGTGGGGAGAGAGCGGAGAGAGTGTGGAGAGAGAGTGGAGAGAAAGTGGAGAGACAGTGGAGAGAGAGAAGGGAGAGAGTGGAGAGAGTGTGGAGAGAGAATGGAGAGAGAGAAGGGAGAGAGTGGAGAGAGAGTGGAGAGAGAGTGGAGAGAGAGTGGAGAGAGAGTGAAGAGAGCGGGGAGAGAGCGGGGAGAGAGCAGAGAGCGAGTGGAGAGAGAGTGGAGAGAGAGAGTGGAGAGAGAGTGCAGAGAGGGGAGAGAGAGGGGAGAGAGAGTGGAGAGAGAGAGGAGAGAGTGGAGAGAGGGGAGAGAGAGTGCAGAGAGAGGGGAGAGAGTGTGGAGAGAGTGGAGAGAGAGTGGGGAGAGAGTGGAGAGAGGGGAGAGAGTGGGGAGAGAGTGGGGAGAGAGTGGAGAGAGAGAGTGGAGAGAGTGGAGAGAGAGTGGAGAGAGAGTGGGGAGAGAGTGGGGAGAGAGTGGAGAGAGAGTGGAGAGAGGGGAGAGAGAGGGGAGAGAGAGTGGAAAGAGAGTGGGGAGAGTGGAGAGAGTCGGGAGAGAGTGGAGAGAGTGGAGAGAGGGGAGAGAGGGGAGAGAGTGGAGAGAGTGGGGAGAGAGTGGAGATAGAGTGGAGAGAGAGAGGAGAGACAGGAGAGAGAGTGGAGAGAGAGTGAATAGAGAGAGGAGAGAGAGTGAAGAGAGCGGGGAGAGAGCGGGGATAGAGAGTGGAGAGAGAGTGGAGAGAGTGGGGAGAGAGTGGAGAGAGTGGGGAGAGTGGGGAGAGTGGGGAGAGAGCGGAGAGAGTGTGGAGAGAGAGTGGAGAGAAAGTGGAGAGAGAGTGGAGACAGAGAAGGGAGAGAGTGGAGAGAGTGTGGAGAGAGAATGGAGAGAGAGAAGGGAGAGAGTGGAGAGAGAGTGGAGAGAGAGTGGAGAGAGAGTGGAGAGAGAGTGAAGAGAGCGGGGAGAGAGCGGGGAGAGAGCGGGGAGAGAGCGGAGAGAGAGCGGAGAGAGAGTGGAGAGGGAGAGTGGAGAGAGAGTGCAGAGAGGGGAGAGAGAGGGGAGAGAGAGTGGAGAGAGAGAGGAGAGAGTGGAGAGAGTGCAGAGAGAGGGGAGAGAGTGTGGAGAGAGTGGAGAGAGAGTGGGGAGAGAGTGGAGAGAGGGGAGAGAGTGGGGAGAGAGTGGGGAGAGAGTGGAGAGAGAGAGTGGAGAGAGTGGAGAGAGAGTGGAGAGAGAGTGGGGAGAGAGTGGGGAGAGAGTGGAGAGAGAGTGGAGAGAGAGTGGAGAGAGGGGAGAGAGTGGGGAGAGAGTGTGGAGAGAGAGTGGAGAGAGTGGAGAGAGATGAGAGAGTGTGGAGAGAGTGGAGAGAGAGAGGGGAGAGAGTGGAGAGAGTGGGGAGAGAGTGGGGAGAGAGTGGAGAGAGAGTGGAGAGAGAGAGAGTGGAGAGCGTGGAGAGAGAGTGGAGAGAGAGTGGAGAGAGAGTGGAGAGAGGGGAGAGAGTGGAGAGAGAGAGGGGAGAGAGTGGAGAGAGTGGAGAGAGAGTGGAGAGAGTGGAGAGAGTGGAGAGAGAGAGGGGAGAGAGTGGAGAGAGTGGAGAGAGAGTGGAGAGAGAGAGAGTGGAGAGCGTGGAGAGAGAGTGGAGAGAGAGTGGAGAGAGAGTGGAGAGAGGGGAGAGAGTGGAGAGAGAGAGGGGAGAGAGGGGAGAGAGTGGAGAGAGAGTGGAGAGAGTGGAGAGAGTGGAGAGAGAGAGGGGAGAGAGTGGAGAGAGTGGAGAGAGAGTGGAGAGAGTGTGGAGAGAGAGTGGAGAGAGATTGAAGAGAGAGAGGAGACTGAGAGTATCAGAGCTGATGACGTTGATGACGACGATCACAATCACGCGCGGTCCACGTGCATCTCGCCATGCGCCTCAGCGTCTCGGGCGATGATAATGACGACGATGATGACGACGACGACGACGACGACGACGACGACTATGATGACGACAATGAAGACAACGACGATAATAGCGATGATGACGATGATGACGACGATAATGACGATGATGACGATGATGAGGACGACGATAACGACGACGACGATGAGGACGACGATGACGACGACGACAACAACGATGATCACGATGATAACGACGACGACGATGAGGACGACGATAACGACGATGATGACGACGACGACAACAACGATGATGACGATGATAACGACGACGACGATGACGACGACGATGACGACGATGATGACGACGACGACGACGACAACAACGATGATGACGATGATAACGACGACGATGACGACGACGATGATAACGACGACGACGATGAGGACGACGACGACGCCGCTGCCCCCGCCCTCACCATGGGTCTCAGCGTCTCGGGCGCCCCCTTGGCCGTGGCCACGTGCACCAGGTCGGTGGCGCCGTGGCGCTCCATGGAGGCCACGGCCGACATCCGCTTGAGGGCGCTCGTGAAGTGGAAGCGCTGGTGGATCCGCATGGGCTTAGCGCGCATCCCCCGCGGAATCGAAACGTCGGCTGCACGCGGGCACAAAGACAAAGGTGTGTCCCCCCCCCCCCCCCCCCCGTATAGCCTTAACAGACTGTTGGGGCAAGTGCTGTTAGCGAGCAGCACCTACGAAGGCACACGTGGTGGGTGGGTGGCCAGCATCACGCCCGGCCGCCATTGTCTCCCCGGTGACGATGTTTACTACTACACACCGCACCGGGTACTCGTTTGAGGCCGAGTCGACCTAGGGGAGGCCCAGGTATCGGTTCAGATCATCGTCACTGGCGGTGTTGGCCGTGAGCGGGAATCGAACCCGGGTCGCCGGGTTCACAGCGCAGCGTAGCGATAACCCCCTACACTACCGCACGCACACACACACACACACAAATGCACACACGCACACAACAAAGATAAAGATCCCCCATATAGCCTGTAACAGACTGTAGGGGCAAGTGCTGTTAGCGAGCACCTATGAAGGCCGGAACGGTACACGAGGGGGTGGGTGGCCAGCACCACGCCCGACCGCCTTTGTCTCCCTAGTGGCGATGTTTACACACTGCACCAGGTACTCATTTGAGGCTGAGTCGACCTAGGGGAGGCCCGGGACCGGTTCAGATAATCGTCACTGGTGTTGGCCGTGAGCGGGAATCGAACCCAGGTCGCCAGGTTCATAGCGCAGCGCGCTAACCGCTACACTACCGCACACACACACAAATGCACACGCACACGCGCAAAACGCACGCACTCACTCACTCACAGGCGCAGGCACACACGCGGGCACATCATCATACGCCACCACCGCAGCCCATCATCATCATCATTCACTACCGCCACCAACGCAACACCATCATCAAACGGCTATCAACGATTTCGGCTGTACATCACCGCTACCGCCATCATCGCCACCACCGTACACCGCCACCCCTCCACGGCGTACTCTTGGTGAGCGTCCAGTCGGCGGCGGTGAGCATCGCCTTCTCCAGGGGGTCGCCCACCAGAGAGCCGTCCTCCATCTGGACGAGCGAGTGGCACGTGGCGAGGACCCAGTGGGTCTCCAGCGGCACGTTACCGATCGGCGTCACCTCGCCTCCCTCCCTGCAGAAGGCGGCGGCAGCGGCAGAAGTAGTAGAAACAGCAGCGGTAGCAGCAGAAGCAGTAGAAGCAGCAGCAGTAGTAGCAGCAGCAGCAACAGTGGCAGCAGAAGCAGCAACAGTGGCAGCAGGAGAAGCAGTGTCAGCAGAAGCAGTAGCAGCAGTGGCAGTAAAAGCAGTAGAAGCAGTGGCAGCAGTAGCAGTAGAAGCAGCAACAGTGGTAGCAGCAGCAGCAGCGGCAGCAGAAGCAAAAACAGCAGAGGCGGCAGCAGCAGCAGTAGCAGCAGAGCGTAGCCGTCAGTGGCGAGATGTTGACTACCTCGCCTGGTATGCAGGAGGTCGTGGGTTCGATCCCAACCCTGATGCCTGCTGCTGTATATTTGGAGTTTGCGTGTCTCTCTCATCATCACCACGGTGGCTAGGAGATGTTAACTACCTCGCCTGGTGTACAGGAGGTCGTGGGTTCGATCCCGACCCTGACGCCTGCTGCTGTATATTTGGAGTTTGCGTCTCTCTCTCTACCCATGGTCGCGTGGCCCTGATACTCCCGTTTTTTATCTCAACGCGCGTTCAGAGCATTCGGCTACTGCTAAAAATGCCCACGTGATGATGACGACGACGACGACGACCAGCCACTTCGTAGAGCTGCTATCAAGTGTGGGTAAGTAAAATAAAACATCCGCTACGGGCCACATCACCGTCCTCGTGGCAACGTTCGGAAGACCCCCCCCAACCCCGCACCCGGAGTACCTCCCTCACCCGACACCTCCCCTCCCACCCTTCAACCCCGCCCTAACGCTCACTCACTTGAGGCCCGCCACTCCCCGCACCACGAGGTTGTCGCTGGTGAGGGTGCCCGTCTTGTCGAAGCAGCAGATGTCCACCTTGCCCGCGAAGGGGATGCGGAACGGCTCCGTGCAGTACACGTCTAGCCACGTGGGGTGGGGGGGGGTGGGGGGCACAACAGATTCGCGGGGACGATCGGGATGATCCGCTTGCCGCGGGCCGTCTGGAACGCCCTTACCTTCCGGCGTGAGGAGGCGCCACGGGTTAGCTGCGCACTTTAAAAGTCGTCTCGGTTGAGAACTCGTTTCTTCGGGAACTGATTTTTTTCGTCTTAAGTTTGTCGTCCTTCAACCCCTCTCCCCACCCGGCAACTCCGATTAGCACGGTTGAATACAGACAGTGCGAAAGATGTTCAACAAACATACACACCGCCCATAGACTCAACACTGCCTACAGACTAACACTGCCCATAGACTCAACACTGCCCATAGACTCAACACTACCCATAGACTCAACACTGCCCATAGACTCAACACTGCCTACAGACTAACACTGCCCATACACTCAACACCGCCCATAGACTCAACACTGCCCACAGACTCAACACTGCCCATAGACTCAACACTGCCTACAGACTCAACACTGCCCGTAGACTCAACACTGCCCATAGACTCAACACTGCCCATAGACTCAACCCTGCCCATAGACTCAACACTGCCCATAGACTCAACACTACCCATAGACTCAACACTGCCCATAGACTCAACACTGCCCATAGACTCAACACTGCCCATAGACTCAACACTGCACATAGACTCAACACTGCCCATAGACTCAACACTACCCATAGACTCAACACTGCCCATAGACTCAACACTGCCCACAGACTCAACACTGCCCATAGACTCAACACTGCCTACAGACTAACACTGCCCATAGACTCAACACTGCCCACAGACTCAACACTGCCCACAGACTAACACTGCCCATAGACTCAACACCGCCCATAGACTCAACACTGCCCACAGACTCAACACTGCCCACAGACTCAACACTGCCCATAGACTCAACACTGCCTACAGACTAACACTGCCCATAGACTCAACACTGCCCATAGACTCAACACTGCCCACAGACTCAACACTGCCCATAGACTCAACACCGCCCATAGACTCAACACTGCCCACAGACTCAACACCGCCCATAGACTCAACACTACCCATAGACTAACACTGCCTACAGACTAACACTGCCCATAGACTCAACACCGCCCATAGACTCAACACTGCCCACAGACTCAACACTGCCCATAGACTCAACACTACCCATAGACTCAACACTGCCCATAGACTCAACACTGCCCATAGACTCAACACTACCCATAGACTCAACACTGCCCATAGACTCAACACTGCCCATAGACTCAACACTACCCATAGACTCAACACTGCCCATAGACTCAACACTGCCTACAGACTAACACTGCCCATACACTCAACACCGCCCATAGACTCAACACTGCCCACAGACTCAACACTGCCCATAGACTCAACACTGCCTACAGACTCAACACTGCCCGTAGACTCAACACTGCCCATAGACTCAACACTGCCCATAGACTCAACCCTGCCCATAGACTCAACACTGCCCATAGACTCAACACTACCCATAGACTCAACACTGCCCATAGACTCAACACTGCCCATAGACTCAACACTGCCCATAGACTCAACACTGCACATAGACTCAACACTGCCCATAGACTCAACACTACCCATAGACTCAACACTGCCCATAGACTCAACACTGCCCACAGACTCAACACTGCCCATAGACTCAACACTGCCTACAGACTAACACTGCCCATAGACTCAACACTGCCCACAGACTCAACACTGCCCACAGACTAACACTGCCCATAGACTCAACACCGCCCATAGACTCAACACTGCCCACAGACTCAACACTGCCCACAGACTCAACACTGCCCATAGACTCAACACTGCCTACAGACTAACACTGCCCATAGACTCAACACTGCCCATAGACTCAACACTGCCCACAGACTCAACACTGCCCATAGACTCAACACCGCCCATAGACTCAACACTGCCCACAGACTCAACACCGCCCATAGACTCAACACTACCCATAGACTAACACTGCCTACAGACTAACACTGCCCATAGACTCAACACCGCCCATAGACTCAACACTGCCCACAGACTCAACACTGCCCATAGACTCAACACTACCCATAGACTCAACACTGCCCATAGACTCAACACTGCCTACAGACTAACACTGCCCATAGACTCAACACAGCCCATAGACTCAACACTGCCCATAGACTCAACACTACCCATAGACTCAACACTGCCCTTAGACTCAACACTGCCCATAGACTCAACACTGCCCATAGACTCAACACTGCCCACAGACTCAACACTGCCCATAGACTCAACACTGCCCATAGACTCAACACTGCCCATAGACTCAACACTACCCATAGACTCAACACTGCACCATAGACTCAACACTGCCCATAGACTCAACACCGCCCATAGACTCAACACTGCCCATAGACTCAACACTGCCCATAGACTCAACACTGCCCATAGACTCAACCCTACCCATAGACTCAACACTGCCCATAGACTCAACACTGCCCACAGACTCAACACTGCCCACAGACTCAACACTGCCCATAGACTCAACACTGCCTACAGACTAACACTGCCCATAGACTCAACACCACCCAAAGACTCAACACTGCCCATAGACTCAACACTGCCCATAGACTCAACACTGCCCATAGACTCAACACTGCCCACAGACTCAACACTGCCCACAGACTCAACACTGCCCATAGATTCAACACTGCCTACAGACGGACACTGCCCATAGACTCAACACTGCCTACAGACTAACACTGTCCATAGACTCAACACCGCCCATAGACTCAACACTGCCCATAGACTCAACACTGCCCATAGACTCAACACTGCCCACAGACTCAACACTGCCCATAGACTAACACTGCCCATAGACTCAACACTGCCCATAGACTCAACACTGCCCATAGACTCAACACTGCCCACAGACTCAACACTGCCCACAGACTCAACACTGCCCATAGACTCAACACTGCCTACAGACTAACACTGCCCATAGACTCAACACCGCCCAAAGACTCAACACTGCCCATAGACTCAACACTGCCCATAGACTCAACACTGCCCATAGACTCAACACTGTCCACAGACTCAACACTGCCCACAGACTCAACACTGCCCATAGATTCAACACTGCCTACAGACGGACACTGCCCATAGACTCAACACTGCCTACAGACTAACACTGCCCATAGACTCAACACCGCCCAAAGACTCAACACTGCCCATAGACTCAACACTGCCCATAGACTCAACACTGCCCATAGACTCAACACTGCCCACAGACTCAACACTGCCCACAGACTCAACACTGCCCATAGATTCAACACTGCCTACAGACGGACACTGCCCATAGACTCAACACTGCCTACAGACTAACACTGTCCATAGACTCAACACCGCCCATAGACTCAACACTGCCCATAGACTCAACACTGCCCATAGACTCAACACTGCCCATAGACTCAACACTGCCCATAGACTCAACACTGCCCATAGACTCAACACTGCCCACAGACTCAACACTGCCCACAGACTCAACACTGCCCATAGACTCAACACTGCCTACAGACTAACACTGCCCATAGACTCAACACCACCCAAAGACTCAACACTGCCCATAGACTCAACACTGCCCATAGACTCAACACTGCCCATAGACTCAACACTGCCCACAGACTCAACACTGCCCACAGACTCAACACTGCCCATAGATTCAACACTGCCTACAGACGGACACTGCCCATAGACTCAACACTGCCTACAGACTAACACTGCCCATAGACTCAACACCGCCCATAGACTCAACACTGCCCATAGACTCAACACTGCCCATAGACTCAACACTGCCCATAGAATCAACACTGCCCATACACTCAACACTACCCATAGACTCAACACTGCCCATAGACTCAACACTACCCATAGACTCAACACTACCCCCACCCCCCACACCGCAGGGCAGGGTTCTCGTCCGGGGGGGGGGGGGCGTGCGGCGTGCGTACAGAGCTTGGCGAGGGCGATGAGCGAGGTGTTGACGGCGAGGGAGAGCTCGATGGGCAGCTCGGGAGGGACGACGGACGTGAGGATGAGCGTGCACTCCAGGAAGAGCTTGTAGCGGTTTCGGCTCGCGTCCTTCGTGCCTACGGCGCAAACACAGAGGCAAAGGTCCCCCCGCGGAGCCTCTCACGGACCGCCGGGGCCAAGTGCCGCTGGCGCGTGGCACCGCAAACACAAAGGCAAAGGTCCCCCCGCGTAGCCTCTCACGGACCGCTCCGGGCCAAGTGCCGCTGGCGCGTGGCACCCGTTGGCTCGCGTTCCCGCGGCGAGGCGGGGACACGAACCTTCCAGCCACACGTAGCCCGAGGCGGCGATGGCGAACACCAGCAGGAAGAGAATGAAGACGAAGGTCTCCATGTTGTTGGCGGTGACGCGCTTCACCCCGAACAGGATCGTGCGCAGCAACTTTCCCTGCGCGGCGGCAGTGGAGTCAACGGAGGCGACCCAGGCCCCGGCAAGCACGCGAACAACCCGCTCGTCCAACCGCACACCCGATGGCTCGCCCGTTCACCGATCCACACGCTCGCTCACCCGCTCGCTCGCCCGCTCACTGATCCACCCGCTCGCTCGCTCGCCCGTTCACCGATCCACACGCTCGCTCATCCGCTCGCTCGCCCGCTCACCGATCCACCCGCTCGCTCACCCGCTCGCTCGCCCGTTCACTGATCCACACGCTCGCTCACCCGCTCGCTCACTCAACCACGCAGCAGATTTCTCACCCAACCGCACACCCAATCACTCACCCATTCACTGATCCACTTGCTTACCCACTCGCTCGCTCACTCAACCACGCAGCAGATTTCTCACCCAACCGCACACCCAATCACTCACCCATTCACTGATCCACTTGCTTACCCACTTGCTCACTCACTCAACCACACACGAGATTTTTCACCCACCCTTACACCCACTCACTCAACCACACACGAGATTTTTCACCCACCCTTACGCCCACTCACTCGCTCAACCGCACAACCGGAACGGTCACTCACTCACGAACTTATCCACTCACTTACCCACTCGCTCACACACTCACCCACTCGCTCAACCGCCTAACCGGTCGCTCATCCACTCACTCACTCAACCTATTTAACTACCATACTGCAGGGTCACGACAACACACTCACCCACCCACTCACTCACTCACTCACCCACCCACCCACTCGCATACCCACCCACCCACTCACTCACCCGCCCACTCACTCACCCACCCACCCACTCACACACCCACCCACCCACCAACCACGATACAGCAGGCCACAAAATCTCACTCGCCCAAACCCACCTACCCAACCTAACCCACTCACTTAATCAGCCTCCCACCCACCCACCCACTCACCTACCCACCCACACACCCACCCACCCACTCACCCACCCACCCGCCCGCTCACCCACCCACCCACTCACCTGTGACGTGTTGAATCCCGTACGCAGCACGTACGCCACGCATCCGTTGTCCGTGGCTGTAACAGGAAAATAAAAAATGTGACCAGAGCTGGGCGATGTGATGATGGAAGCACTCGATTACTCGACGGACTGCGTTCCAGACGGCCGCGGCAAGCAATTCAAAGCGTGCTGGAGAGAGCCACAACTTTACACTCTGGGTTCGTTCCTGTGAGATGATCTCCACGAGAGGAATCATGACTCCCCCGCCCAGCCCCCTCCACCACTTCATTCACAAACAAACCAACAACAGACAGATGGACAGATGTACTGCAAAGCGGGGGCCCGGAAAGATGGACGGACAGACAGACAGGTGGAAAGACAAACAGAGAGAGAGAGAGTGATAGATGGGCAGACAAGACAAGATGGATAGACTGAGAGACAGACCGACGGATGGATGGACAGACGGATGAACGGACAGACGGACGGACAGACGGATGGATGGACGGACGGACGGACAGACGGATGGACGGACGGACAGACGGATAGACGGACGGACAGACGGATAGACGGACAGACGGATAGACGGACAGACGGATGGACAGACGGATGGACAGACGAATGGATGAATGGACAGACAAAGAGACAGACGGATGGACAGACGAATGGATGAATGGACAGACGAACAGACAGACGGACGGATGAACAGACAGACGGATGGATGGACGGACGGATGGATGAATGGACAGACGAACAGACAGGCGAACGGACGACGAGGAAGAGGAGTCACTCACGCTTGAGGCCAGAGGAGGCCTTCTGGGGCGGCGTGTGCTGCACCACCTTGGTGCCCCCGTAAATCACGTGCAGCTTCGAGTCCTGCTCCAGGTTCAACACCCGCTCGGGGTCGAGCTCTTCCACCGGCTCCTGCGATCGCAAGCGGCGCGGTGGAGACGCAAAAAAACTTTTATAAAAAGTATAAAAAATATTATAATTTCACCAGGTAAGGCCCCACTGAAATCTGAAGCTCTAATTCAGATGCGAAACTCGACTAAATAACTCGATGAGCGCGACGTTGATTCTAAATGCGGAAGGGGAAAGCCGGAGAAAACGCTACGCAACCACGGGGAGAGAGAGAGGCACACACAAACTCAAAATATGCAGTAGGCATTAAGGGGTCGGGATCAAACCCCGTGAACCTCCTGTACACCAGGCGAGGTAGTTAACATCTCCGAGCCACCATGATGATGATGATGTTGGAGAGAGACACGCAAACTCCAAATATACAGCAGGCGTCAACAGTTCGGGATAGAACCCTCAACTTCCTGCATATACAGTGAGGGAAAAAAGTATTTGATCCCCTGCTGATTTTGTACGTTTGCCCACTGACAAAGAAATGATCGGTCTATAATTTTAATGGTAGGTTAATTTGAACAGTGAGAGACAGAATAACAACAACAAAAACCAGAAAAACGCATGTCAAAAATGTTATAAATTGATTGGATTTTAATGAGGGAAATAAGTATTTGACCCCCTCTCAATCAGAAAGATTTCTGGCTCCCAAGTGTCTTTTATACAGGTAACGAGCTGAGATTAGGAGCACACTCTTAAAGGGAGTGCTCCTAATCTCAGCGTGTTACCTGTATAAAAGACACCTGTCCACAGAAGCTATCAATCAGATTCCAAACTCTCCACCATGGCCAAGACCAAAGAGCTCTCCAAGGATGTCAGGGACAAGATTGTAGACCTAGACAAGGCTGGAATGTGCTACAAGACCATTGCCAAACAGCTTGGTGAGAAGGTGACAACAGTTGGTGCGATTATTCGCCAATGGAAGAAACACAAAAGAACTGTCAATTTCCCTCGGCCTGGGGCTCCATGCAAGATCTCACCTCGTGGAGTTGCAATGATCATGAGAACGGTGAGGAATCAGCCCAGAACTACACGGGAGGATCTTGTCAATGATCAAGGCAGCTGGGACCATAGTCACCAAGAAAACAAATGGTAACACACTGCGCCGTGAAGGACTGAAATCCTGCAGCGCCCACAGGGTCCCCCTGCTCAAGAAAGCACATATACATGCCCATCTGAAGTTTGCCAATGAACATCTGAATGATTCAGAGGACAACTGGGTGAAAGTGTTGTAGTCAGATGAGACCAAAATGGAGCTCTTTGGCATCAACTCAACTCGCCGTGTTTGGAGGAGGAATGCTGCCTATGACCCCAAGAACACCATCCCCACCGTCAAACATGGAGGTGGAAACATTACGCTTTGGGGGTGTTTTTCTGCTAAGGGGACAGGACAACTTCACCGCATCAAAGGGATGATGGACGGGGCCATGTACCGTCAAATATTGGGTGAGAACCTCCTTACCTCAGCCAGGGCATTGAAAATGGGTCGTGGATGGGTATTCCAGCATGACAATGACCCAAAACACACGGCCAAGGCAACAAAGGAGTGGCTCAAGAAGAAGCACATTAAGGTCCTGGAGTGGCCTAGCCAGTCTCCAGACCTTAATCCCATAGAAAATCTGTGGAGGGAGCTCAAGGTTCGAGTTGCCAAACGTCAGCCCCAAAACCTTAATGACTTGGAGAAGAGCTGCAAAGAGGAGTGGGACAAAATCCCTCCTGAGATGTGTGCAAACCTGGTGGCCAACTACAAGAAACGTCTGACCTCTGTGATTGCCAACAAGGGTTTTGCCACCAAGTACCAAGTCATGTTTTGCGGAGGGGTCAAATACTTATTTCCCTCATTAAAATGCAAATCAATTTATAACATTTTTGACATGCGTTTTTCTGGATTTTGTTGTTGTTATTCTGTCTCTCACTGTTAAAATAAACCTACCATTAAAATTTTAGACCGATCATTTCTTTGTCAGTGGGAAAACATACAAAATCAGCAGGGGATCAAATACTTTTTTTCCCTCACTGTAAGGCCAAGTAGTCAACATCTGGCGGGAGGAGAGGGGGGGTGGTGAGCATCCCCGGCCTTCGCGAAAGCTGTCACTGCACCTTCATCTGCGGGATAGACTCCCCGGTGAGCATCGCTTCATCCACAATGCATCTGCCGCGCAGCAGCAGCAAGTCGCACGGGACGAGTATCTCTTGGTGTGAGCGACCTGCACGCGCACACACACACACACACGTGTTCACACACACGCATGAGCCCGGACACACAGAGTACAGGACCACGTGCTCTTTCTCTGTTCATATCCCCAAAACAGCAACGATCCGTCCCGCTTCTACAAAACATCCACGGTCCCTCTCGCGTCCGAATCTAAACTAAAATATTTATTTTATCACCCTGCCTCCAACCCACCCACCCTGTCACCCGCCCTGCCACCTGCCCTGCCACCCGCCCTGCCACCTGCCCTGCCTCAAGCCCTGCCACCACTCGCCCTGCCACCTGACCTGTCTCCAACCCACCCACCCTGCCACCTGCCCTGCCACCACCTGCCCTGCCACCACCTGCCCTGCCTCCAACCCACCCACCCTGCCACCCGCCCTGCCACCACCTGCCCTGCCACCACCCGCCCTGCCTCCCACCCTGCCCCCCGCCCTGCCGACCCCCCACCCTGCCCCCCCCCCCCCCACCGCCCTGCCCCCCACCTCCCACCCCGTCTCCACCCTGCCCGCCCCCACCAAAGAGCTAGCGGCGGTGAAGCGTGACGTCGCTCACCGATGGAGACGATGTCGCCGGGAATGAGCTCGTCGGTGATGATCGCTCTCCACTTGCGGTTTCTGTAAACCTGTGGTTGGCGGCACACGCCGGCGATGGGGCGACAGCGAGTCGACGGCTCTACGGGACGTCTGGCAGAAACGGGTGAACAGCGAGATTCCGACCGCGGTCCGTCCCGGTGCTCGCCGGTCCGCCGCCGGGCTTGCGGTCGCCGGACGAACACGGGGGCGCTCGATACAAGCAAAAGCCCTTCGCCACGAACGAACGGCACAAATCACCTCGCCTGTCCCGTCGAGGGGCATGAGCCACCATCGCGCGGCAACTCCGCTCATCCCCGCGGCGGCCGCAACTTTTATGGCTGGCCATCGGGTAAAAGGCGGCGGTCGGCGGTGCACCGCGCGGCGCTTTCAGACGCGCTTCTGCGGCCGTCTGGAACGCTCTTCCCTTCCGAAATTAGGAAGCCACTGAGACCTACGCTGCACTTTTTAAAAAAAATCTCGTTTGAAAAGCAATTTCGTTAGAACTGCCTTTTGTCTTTAATTTGTTGTCCTTACCCCCCCCCCCCCACACCTCCGATTAGCGCGGTTGGCTACGTACGGTGCAAAAGAAGTTCAACACACACACACACACTGCCTATAAACTAACAGTGCCCATAGACTAACACTGCCCACAGACTCAACACTCCCCATAGACTCAACACCGCCCACAGACTCAACACCGCCCACAGACTCAACACCCCCCATAGACTCAACACTCCCCATAGACTCAACACCGCCCAGACTCAACACTGTCCATAGACTCAACACTGCCCATAGACTCAACACAACCCATAGACTCAACACCGCCCATAGACTCAACACCGCCCACAGACTCAACACCGCGGCTGGCTACGTAGAAGCACAAAGGGACGAGGCACTCGCGCCGTACCTGGATGGCGTACGGCTTGTTGCCCATCTTGCGAATCTCCGCCATGTTCTTGAGCTGCTGCTGCACGAGCGATGCCTCGAACATCACGAGCATGACCAGCGTGAAGATGCTGTAGTACCAGTACTCGTCGAGACACCAGAGACCCACGCAGAACACCTACGCACACGCACGGACAAAGATAAAGATCCCCCGTATAGCCTTAACAGACTGTAGGGGCAAGTGCTGTTAGCGAGCGGCACCTACGAAGGCCGGCACTGTGGCACACGAGGGGCTGGGTGGCCAGCACCACGCCCGGCCGCCTTTGTCTCCCCAGTGGTGAGGTTTACACACCGCACCAGGTACTCGTTTTAGGCTGAGTTGACCTAGGGGGGAGGCCCCAGAACCGGTTCAGATAATCGTCACCGGTGTTGGTGAGGCTAGGCTCGCAAAACAGCTCCTGCCACACAGCAGTAAGCAACAACAGCAAGCAGCAACAACAAGAAACAACAACAACAACAACAAACAACAACCGCCGTTCGCCACCAAGCGGCTGCGACGTCACCACGGCGCCCGTGCCAGGCCATGTGCACGTTAAACCCACGCACACATCATCAACAACAACAACAACAACAAACAACAACCGCCGTTCGCCACCAAGCGGCTGCGACGTCACCACGGCGCCCGTGCCAGGCCATGTGCACGTTAAACCCATGCACACATCATCATCAACAACAACAAACAACAACCGCCGTTCGCCACCAAGTGGCTGCGACGTCACCACGGCGCCCGTGCCAGGCCACGTGCGCGCTTTGAGACCGCGAGAAATGGCTTTAACGTACGCACACGCGGTGCAAACGCACGCGCGCGTTTGCGCGGGTACACGCACACGCCGATACCCGCCCCGGCGTTTCCCGTGCCAGGCGCACGAGCCTGGCCCCCGGCGCGTCCCAACCTGGAACACGAAGAACGGCGCCGTGGCCCTTTCCATGAAGAGTTCCATGAAGTCCGGGACGACCATCTCGGCCCTGCGGGGGGAGGGGGTGGGAGGAGATAAGAGGGGGGACAGGGAGAGCGGGGGCCATCGTGGCGGACGACGTACGGACGTTGAACTTTGTCCGTGCCGTTGGTAGCCAACCGTGCCAATCGGAGATGCAGTGTTGAGTCTATGGTGCAGTGTTGAGTCTATGGTGCAGTGTTGAGGCTATGGTGCAGTGTTGAGTCTATGGGCAGTGTTGAGTCTACGGGTAGTGTTGAGTCTATGGTGCAGTGTTGAGTCTATGGGCAGTGTTGAGTCGATGGGCGGTGTTGAGTCTATGGTGCAGTGTTGAGTCTACGGGTAGTGTTGAGTCTATGGTGCAGTGTTGAGTCTATGGGCAGTGTTGAGTCTATGGGCAGTGTTGAGTCTATGGTGCAGTGTTGAGTCTATGGTGCAGTGTTGAGACTATGGGTAGTGTTGAGTCTATGGTGCAGGGTTGAGTCTATGGGCAGTGTTGAGTCTATGGGTAGTGTTGAGTCTATGGGCAGTGTTGAGTCTATGGGCAGTGTTGAGTCTATGGTGCAGTGTTGAGTCTATGGGCAGTGTTGAGTCTATGGGTAGTGTTGAGTCTATGGTGCAGTGTTGAGTCTATGAGCAGTGTGTACGTACGCACATTGAACTTCTTTCGCACCGTACGTAGCCAACCGCGCTAATAGGAGGTGATGGGGGAAGGACAACAAACTAAACACAACAAGGAGTTCTAAAGAAATGAGTTTGTCAATCGAGGCGATGATTTAAAATTGCATAGCTCTCAGTGGCTTCCTAACATCAGAAGGAAGAGCGTTCCAGACGGCCGTTTTTGTTTGACGGCCAGCAGCCAAAAGCCGCCGCGAGGTTGAGCCGAGTGTCTCGTGACGATGGTTTATAGCTCCTTGGAGAGATCAGCAAACGGGACAGTGCCGTTGCAAAAAATCGTTCGAAATCCACAGGGTTACACAGAGACCCGTAGCGTTACGTAGAGATGCACGGTCGCAAAGAGACCCCACGCAGAGGTTACGTAGCTGATGTAAAAGTGCCACAGCTCCTAACATCGGAAGAAGCGTTCGCAATGACCCCAGAAGCAGCGCATCTCAAAGCGCGGCAACGACGATGACGATGATGATGATGATGATGCGGTGACCGCAGTTTTTGTCCGGCGGCTGAGCCAAAAGCCGCGGCTGCTGCTGCGAGGATGAGCGGAGTGTCGCCTGACGACGATGGTTTACGCTCCCTGACGAGTTCGGCGAGGTATTGTGGTCCATTCACGCTCGCCACGGTGGAGAGATGTTGACTACCTCGCCTGGTGTACAGGAGGTCGTGGGTTCGATCACAACCCTGACGCCTGCTGCTGCTGTATATGTGGAGTCTGCGTGTCTCTCTCTTTCATCATCATCATCATCACGGTGGCTAGGAGATGTTAACTACCTCGCCTGGTGTACAGGAGGTCGTGGGTTCGATCACAACCCTGACGCCTGCTGCTGTATATTTGGAGTTTGCGTGTCTCTCTCTCATCATCACCACGGTGGCTAGGAGATGTTAACTACCTCGCCTGGTGTACAGGAGGTCGTGGGTTCGATTCCAACCCTGACACCTGCTGCTGTATATTTGGAGTCTGTGTGTTCTTCCCGTGCTCGCGTGGATTTTCTCCGGCGTGCTCCGGTTTTTTCCCTCCAAAATTTAGAATCGGCGTCACGCGTTCAGAGAATTTAGGCTGCCATGGATTTACAAGTGATGAAGACGATGACAAGCCCACTTCGCTGAGCTATCATTTGCGATAGCCAGGCCGCTTCTGAAAAAAACGAGCTGTGCCGCTCAGCAATTGATCCGTGTTCAGGCTCCACCAACGAGGTCCCTGAGGATCTTCCGATCGCCTTCTTCTAACGACTCCCGAGCTCAAGGATATGTTTTTTTTTTCTCTGCAGGGGTGATCGCGATTTTGCCTGCGATGTGCAGCTCCCAGGCGATGGAACAGCGCTGCCTAATTCCGCTGATTAAGACAACCAAGAGCCGTTGGGTTTATTTAAGTCCTGTCTTGTGAGTGGGAGGACGAGTCGGCGAGTGGGTGAGTGGCTGAGTGGGCGAGTGCGTGGGTAAGTGGGTGGGTGAGTGAGTGAGGAGGGTGAGCGGGTGAGTGAGTAGGGTGAGCGGCTGAGGGAGTAGGGTGAGCTCCCAGGCTATGGAACAGCGCTGTGTGCCTCCGCTGATTAAGACAAACAAGAGCAGTTGGGTTTATTTAAGTCCTGTCTTGTGAGTGGGAGGACGAGTCGGCGAGTGGGTGAGTGGCTGAGTGGGCGAGTGCGTGGGTAAGTGGGTCGGTGAGTGAGTGAGTGAGTAGGGTGAGCGGGTGAGTGAGTAGGGTGAGCGGCTGAGGGAGTAGGGTGAGCTCCCAGGCTATGGAACAGCGCTGTGTGCCTCCGCTGATTAAGACAAACAAGAGCCGTTGGGTTTATTTCAGTCCTGTCTTGTGAGTGGGAGGACGAGTCGGCGAGTGGGTGAGTGGCTGAGTGGGCGAGTGCGTGGGTAAGTGGGTCGGTGAGTGAGTGAGTGAGGAGGGTGAGCGGGTGAGGGAGTAGGGGGGGGGGGTGCAATCGGTAGAACACCGCGGTAGAAACACCGCGGTGTTTCGACCGCGGTAAAGACGCCGCCGTGGAAGCCGCTCACTTGTTTTTGCCGTAGGTCCGCTCGGCCGCGGCCGCCTCCTCCTCCTGGAAGCCGCGGGCGCTCTGGTAGTCGGACAGCGCCAGTGCCACGGGGAAGGCGACCGGCTGGAAGCGGCGCTTCTCGCGCCCCTCGTACACGTACTTGATCTTCTGGAACTCGAACGCGACGCTCTCCTCCTCCTCCACCACTTCGCCACCGCCATCGCCACCGCCTCCTCCGTTCCTCCCCTGCGGCGAGCGAGAGGTGGCCAGGGGAGTGGGGGGCGGTGGGGGGCGCGGGGAGGCGGGTGGGGGGGGGGGGCGGGTGAGTTGGGCGGACATCCTGTAACGTTGCTTTTTCGTCGTCAGGTTCGAGTTATTTTTCGCGCGGAGAAGCCGTGATCGGGAGAAACACCGCGGTGGAGACAACGCGGTAGCAATCACCACGCTAGGCTCGGATAATTTTTCACGGTCAGGTTCCGACCGACCCGTTCTCGTGGCCCCTTCTCATAGCGCACCGAGCCTGGCACAAGCACCGTCATTTAGTGGCGAATGGCGGCGGCTGTTGTTGTCGCTGTTGCGCCCGCGTCTCTCTCCGCGTGTCTACGCGCACAAGCACGTCTGTACGTAAGCATGTATGAACACGCGTGCGTATGTGTGTGTGTGCCCGCGCGTTATCGCTTACCGAGTCGTGGAGGAGAGGCACTAGTTCGGCAAAGCCGTTGTTCGGCGTTGGAACGACTTTGACCCACGTCGCCTTCTTAGGGTCCTCTTCCTAGGGGGCGGGGAGGGGGGGGGGGAAGTTGGCGTGCGTATCGTGCGTACGTACGTACGTATGTACGCGGAATTTCTTTCGCAACGCCGTACGTAGCCGACCGTGCTAATCGGAGGTACGGGGGAAGCACAAAAAGGCAGTTCGAATGGACGTCCAGTTTATTCGCAAGTGGGACGCTCAACTCTGCCTGCCGTAGACGATCTGCGCTGCCGGTAACCACGAGTAGAGACCAACAGCACCTTGGGTCATCGGCAAGTCCCGGCACAGACCCAGCAGGTGCCATGGGTTGACCGAGATGACTGGCAGATGCACCACCTGTACCCCCTACTGTGACAACCTGCTGCGTTTTATCCGCCCGGCGCTCCGCTCGTTGTTGCGAGCGTCGCTCCTCTGCCCTCCGTTGTTGCTGGAGGGGCGACTGCCTCCAACTGCCCAGTAGCAGCGGGCGTCCTTCACGAGCCTCCTCCTCCACAGAGGCCGATCTTTACACCGCTGGTACCGGTCGTCGGCAAGTCCCCCGGCACTGCCACCACGGCCACTACTCCCATCACGGTTGTGGAGTCCCCCTTCCTCGGTCCATTAGGCATTCTGAGTCTGTTTCACTTTTTTAAATCACCGTCTTAAAACTCACCTATTTGTACTGCAGACTTTGCCCGTAACTTAGGATGGAAAAAACCATTGTGTTTGTCCTCTTGAATTACTCCGTATGAATTATTAATAACATTATTCCTTTTCATCGTAGTTCTTCACTTTGACGGAATCTCGACAGTAGTCAGAGGTATCGTTACCGTCAGCTTTCTATGTCGCTGAGATTTCATCCGCACTTGTGAGCGGAGTTTTATTTTTACGTACAGTGCTTTGAGATACCTCAACATGAAAGGCGCTTTATAAAATAGTTTATTATTATTATTTCGCCACCACCGTCACCGCCGCCAATATCAATACCAACACCCGACGTTCGACACTCAAGTGACGGTGACGTCACCACGGCATGCAGGGCCGATGCAACTTCAGCGGCGAAGGTTCGCTAGCAGGAGGTCGCGGAACAGAGACCCAGCAGGTGCCATGGGTTGACCGACTGAGATGACTTGGCAAGATGCACCACCAGATGTTGCACCCCCTACTGTGCCACCACCACTGCCACCACCACCACCACCGCTACCACCGCTACCACCACCACCACCGCATCCACCACTGCTACCGCCACCACCGCTGCAGCTACCACCACCACCGCAGCTAACGCTGCTACGGCCACCACCACCACCGCCGCCACCGCCGCCACCACCACCGCTGCTCACCTTCCTGCACGTGAGTGCGCAGCGGACGTGCACGGACCAGTGGCACGACAGCGCCGTGAGCACGTGCAGCAGCACCGTCGCCGCCCCGGCCACCAGCAGCAGGAGGCCCCCTCCGTCGTGTTCCCCTCCGTCGAGCTCCACCGCGTCGGGGCCCCCACCCCCGCTCGATTCGGTGGCTCCCTCGGTCCGGTCGAGGGCGGCGGTGTCGGCGGTGTCGGCGGCGACGGCGTCAGCGGCCGTGAGCCACGCGTAGAGCCACGCGGCGTACAGGGCGACGAAGGGACCGGCGTAGCCACGAAGGGGCAGCGGCTTCAGGGTGTGCAGCGAGACGCTCGCCACGAGGTCGTCCAGCGGAGGAGCCATGGTGCCCCCGCTCGCCCCGCCAAGTCGCTCCGCGTCTGCCCTCCGGCCACGCAGACACCCGGCCACCTGTCAGCATGGGGGAAATGACCATGGGTATGTATCACCAGCTGGGTCAGTCTGCCACCTGTCAGCATGGGGGAAATGACCATGGGTATGTATCACCAGCTGGGTCAGCCAGCGACCTGTCAGGATGGGGGAAATGACCATGGGTATGTATCACCAGCTGGGTCAGTCAGCCACCTGTCAGGATGGGGGAAATGACCATGGGTATGTATCACCAGCTGGGTCAGTCAGCCACCTGTAAGGATCGGTGAAATGACCATGGGTATGTATCACCAGCTGGGTCAGTCAGCCACCTGTCAGCATGGGTGAAATGACCATGTGTATGTATCACCAGCTGGGTCAGTCAGCCACCTGTCAGGATGGGGGAAATGACCATGGGTATGTATCACCAGCTGGGTCAGTCAGCCACCTGTCAGGATGGGGGAATGACCATGTGTATGTATCACTAGCTGAGTCAGTCAGCGACCTGTCAGGATGGGGGAATGGTCATGGGTATGTATCACCAGCTGGGTCAGTCAGCCACCTGTAAGGATGGGGGAAATGACCATGGGTATGTATCACCAGCTGGGTCAGTCAGCCACCTGTCAGGATGGGGGAATGACCATGTGTATGTATCACCAGCTGGGTCAGTCACCACCTGTCAGGATGGGGGAATGACCATGTGTATGTATCACCAGCTGGGTCAGTCAGCCACCTGTCAGCATGGGGAAATGACCATGTGTATGTATCACCAGCTGGGTCAGCCAGCCACCTGTCAGCATGGGGGAAATGACCATGGGTATGTATCACCAGCTGGGTCAGTCAGCCACCTGTCAGCATGGGGGAATGGCCATGTGTATGTATCACCAGCTGGGTCAGTCAGCCACCTGTCAGCATGGGGGAATGGCCATGTGTATGTATCACCAGCTGGGTCAGTCAGCGACCTGTCAGCATGGGAGAATGACCATGGGTATGTATCACCAGCTGAGTCAGCCAGTGACCTGTCAGGATGGGGGAAATGACCATGTGTATGTATCACCAGCTGGGTCAGTCACCACCTGTCAGGATGGGGAAATGACCATGTGTATGTATCACCAGCTGAGTCAGTCAGCCACCTGTCAGCATGGGGAAATGACCATGTGTATGTATCACCAGCTGGGTCAGCCAGCCACCTGTCAGCATGGGGGAAATGACCATGGGTATGTATCACCAGCTGGGTCAGTCAGCCACCTGTCAGTATGGGGGAAATGACCATGGGTATGTATCACCAGCTGGGTCAGTCTGCCACCTGTCAGCATGGGGGAAATGACCATGTGTATGTATCACCAGCTGGGTCAGTCAGCCACCTGTCAGCATGGGGGAAATGACCATGGGTGCTGTGGTTGTTGTTGTTGTAATCGCCGCGTGAACTTGCATGAGCCACGGGGCATTAATGCCTCACTGTTGTAGGGAACCTGTCCGCGGCTTGGCTTGGCTTTGGAGCCGTGGTCATTCGCGCGAGGTGCTCGCAAGCGCCACAAGGTGCGCCTACCCACAGCTGCAGTGGTAACAGGGTGCAGCCCTACAATCACCTTGTCCAGGCTACTGCTGCCTGAAGGGTACAGGACTACAGCGGGCTCTCGAAAGGATTACTTTCTTTCGGCCTACTTCTCCAAAGCCTGGCTATGACGCCTCGCGAGAGTTGATGAGATGGGGTGTAGGGCAGGGTGGCGGGAGGGATGGACGTTACCCACACTTGTTGTGCTGCACTTCTATGCCACCCCCCCCCCCCCCCACTGCCTTCTCCAATCCGCACTGACCGGCGCGGTGAAGTATGGCCAAAACCAGTCAACCGGCCAAGCCACGAGGCATTCGTCCAGCAGTGGATTGATTAAGGCCTGCACCGAACACGTGGGCGACTATGAGTACAGTGCTAAGCCTGTTCTTAATGCTCTATGCAAACAAAACATGAATGGGGATTCTCGCGTTGTAAAAGATACGATCTTAGCACGCGTGTCAATTAACTCTGGCGATTACTGTCGCACTGCAACATACATTGTTGTACTGTCCCCACCACACACGCTCCCAATTCTTCGCTTCACGACCTTCGAACAAACCGCACCGCCACACGTGTGTGACTGTACACACGTGTGTAACTCTACACACGTGTGTAACTGTACAGTAGCGTCGTGAGCATGTCAAGCAACGTCCAGCAACATCGCTACGGTTGTACTGCACTTCTAGACGCCCCCTCCACCTCCGTGTCGTTAGCCGGCGCGGTCGAGTACAGTCACGCATCGACACACGTGTGTGTGACTGTACACACACACGTGTGTCACTGTACAGTAGCGTCGTGAGCATGTCAAGCAACGTCCAGCAACATCGCTACGGTTGTACTGCACTTCTATACAACAAGAACCGCCATTCGCCACTAAGTGGCGGTGACATCACCACGACGCTCGTGCCAGGCTAGGTGCACCTTGAGGCAGTCACGTGAAGTGTCGAACGCCCTGACTGAGGTGACCGAGATGAGTGGCTGATGCACCACCTGTGTCCCCCCCCCCCCCCACCCTTACTGTGCCAACTTGCTGCGCTTTATCTACCCGGCGCTCCGCTCGTTGTTGTGAGCGTCGCTCCTCCGCCCTCCGTCGTTGCTGGAGGGGGCGACTGCCTCCAACTGCCCCAGCAGCAGCAGCAGCGGCGGCGGCGGCGGCGTCCTTCACGAGCCTCCTCCTCCTCCTCCACAGAGGCCGATCTTGACACCGCTGGTACCGCTCATCGGCAAAGTCCACTCAGGTCCACCACCACCACCACGCACCACCACCACGCACCACCACCACCACGCACCTCCGCTTCGTTAGCCGGGCGCTGCGATGTTCAGACAGCGTTGCGCGATGGGTAGCGAGACTCATCCACAGCGGTAGAGTGTGCCGGCTAGCTGGGCGATCGATGAGCCGTAGGCGGCTGTCACTGAGCGCCGCTGCAAATGAATGGGAGGGGGAGGTTCTGGTTGATGGTGATGGTGGTGGTCGTCGTTTCAGAGCCGACTAGCTCACACATTGCAACAAAATTTTTGTTAAAAATTATTATTAACTAACAAATCGAACGATTTTAAAACGGGTGGAAAGAGGGGTTGGGGGGTGGGGAGAAGTGAATGATAATTAACCGAGGAGGAAAAAAAATATTATTATAAAAAAAAAACTTTAATTTTAATTTAAACTTCCGTACCTTTTCATGGCGCGAGCCGCCTCGTTTCCGCTTCCTGGGGTCACGCTCGCGGGGTTGGGGGGGTCACGTGGTTCCGCTCGCGAGACTGAGGGGGCGGGGCAGGGTGGGGGTGGGGACCACGTGACCCAAATGCGACGTGGTGAGGATGCCACGTGGGGTTTTGAGTTGAGCCACGTGGCTCAATCCCCCCTCCTCTTTTCCGAACACAGATGGACTCGTCCTTATAAACAAACTGCCAAATCGCTGTCCGTGGTGCTAACGTTTAAAAATAAATAAATACAAATGTTTCTTGCCGTTGGTTTTCACACCTGATGATGACTGTTTGTGTTACAGTCGAAACGTCGTGAGAATTTTATTGTTTTTATATATATTTTATTATTTTATTTTTTCCCCTTCAACGTGACTTTACCGAAAGAACCAATAATATGAGCCACGTGGGTTTTGAGGTGGGTCACGTGGGTTTTGAGGTGGGCCACGTGGGTTTTGAGGTGAGCCACGTGGGTTTTGATTGAGCCACGTGGGTTTTGAGGTAAGCCACGTGGGTTTTGATTGAGCCACGTGGGTTTTTATTGAGCCACGTGGGTTTTGAGTTGAGCCACGTGGGTTTTGAGGTGAGCCACGTGGGTTTTGAGGTGGGCCACGTGGGATTTGATTGAGCCACGTGGGTTTTGATTGAGCCACGTGGGTTTTGAGGTGAGCCACGTGGGGTTTGAGGTGGGCCACGTGGGTTTTGAGTTGAGCCACGTGGGTTTTGAGGTGAGCCACGTGGGTTTTGAGGTGGGCCACGTGGGTTTTGAGTTGAGCCACGTGGGATTTGATTGAGCCACGTGGGTTTTGAGTTGAGCCACGTGGGGTTTGGTTGAGCCACGTGGGTTTTGGTTGAGCCACGTGGGGTTTGAGTTGAGCCACGTGGGTTTTGAGTTGAGCCACGTGGGATTTGGTTGAGCCACGTGGGTTTTGAGTTGAGCCACGTGGGTTTTGGTTGAGTCACGTGGGGTTTGAGTTGAGCCACGTGGGTTTTGATTGAGCCACGTGGGGTTTAAGGTGAGCCACGTGGGTTTTGAGTTGAGCCACGTGGGTTTTGAGTTGAGCCACGTGGGTTTTGAGTTGAGCCACGTGGGATTTGAGTTGAGCCACGTGGGTTTTGGTTGAGTCACGTGGGGTTTGAGTTGAGCCACGTGGGTTTTGATTGAGCCACGTGGGGTTTAAGGTGAGCCACGTGGGTTTTGAGTTGAGCCACGTGGGTTTTGAGGTGAGCCACGTGGGTTTTGATTGAGCCACGTGGGTTTTGGTTGAGTCACGTGGGGTTTGAGTTGAGCCACGTGGGTTTTGATTGAGCCACGTGGGGTTTAAGGTGAGCCACGTGGGTTTTGAGTTGAGCCACGTGGGGTTTGGTTGAGTCACGTGGGGTTTGGTTGAGCCACGTGGGTTTTGATTGAGCCACGTGGGCTTTGAGATGAGCCACGTCATGGGGTGTGGTTGAACCACGTGGGTTTTGAGTTAAACCACGTGGGGTTTGGTTGAGCCACGTGGGTTTTGAGTTGAGCCACGTGGGTTTGAGTTAAACCACGTGGGGGTTGGTTGAACCACGTGGGTTTTGAGTTGGAACACGTGGAGCCGGTTAGACCCCACGTGGGTGTTGTTCGAGCCACGCGGTTTAACTTAAGAACCGTCGGCATATTCACGCTAGCTCATCGGAGGAATCGGAGGAATCCGATGAGCTATAAAGCTCTTTTTCACAAAAAAACGCCTTGATGTACAGGCATGGTGTGAGTGCATAATGAAAATAAATTTAGTTTTCATTTATTTTATTGTTTTTTTTTTACCTACGTGACTTTACCGAAAAAAACAAAGAGTTTACAGTACATTATGCACTCACACCATGCCTGTACATCAAGGCGTTTTGTGTGAAAAAGACGCGTGAAAAAGAGCTTTATAGCTCATCAAAAAAATCAATACAATTAATGAAAACAACAAAATGTATTTTCATTTATTTCATTTTTTACCTACGTGACTTTACCGATAAAACCAAAGAGCATGAATCCTTGCAGTCACGAAAGCTTCAAATCTAGAATGCACAATGTATGTTAATTAACCAATTCATAACCCAATCGGTAATGGCCATCTATTGTCATTCATATTAATAAATTAACCCACCACCCCCGCTGACCTTCGCAACCTGATTGGCTCACGAGTGAGGACATCATATTTACCCCCTCCGTCTCATTTAATACCCAGGCAGGAGGACGCTTTAGGGGCCGTCCATAAATGGCGTCACGCGATTGTGGACGATTTTTGACCCTCCCCCTCGTCAAACGGCGTCACAAAAAGTCAGACCCCCCCTCAAATATGACGTCACAAACCTCTGCCCCCCCCCCCCACACACACACAAAAATAAAACATGCTTCAAATCGCTTTAAACTATTGTCATTGTAGTGCGTATTTAATGTGGCGCTGCACTCTGATGTTGTAGGATAAAAACATTTATTTTAAAAAAAACTCTATTTAATTAAGTAGAACGTGTTGTCTATATTTATTTATAAAGTTGCGGTATTTTGACGTGACGTCACATTTCTCAAACCCCCCCCCCCCCGTCGTCACAAATGTCTGACCCCTCCCCCCCAGGTGCGTGACGTCATTTATGAACGGCCCCCTTATCCACAACTCTGTGGCTGTCCGCCTGATGCTGCTGCTGCTGCTGCTGGTTGTTGCAACGACTGCAACCAGTTTAGCTGCTGTGCTAGTAACGAATTGGCCACGTTTTGTTCACGTGACGCGACCTTGCTAATTGGCCGCGTCGGGTGGTGGCGGGTTCAACGACGCAACATTTATATAATTCCGCGATCGAACCCAGACACCTCTATTAAACAGACGCAAGTCCAAATATTGACGTGAAGCTTTCGTGACTGCGGGAATTCATATCCTTTGGGTCTTTCGGTAAAGTCACGTGGATAGGTTCAAAGAAAATAACGGCATCGGGAAGAACGCTTGTGTTGAGATCGAAACGTCGTATTTTTTTTTGTTTTGTTGTTTTGTTGTTATTTGCTTTGAAACTTATCTACGTGACTTTACCCAAAGACCCAAAGAAATATGGAGGCCCAAGTCCCGTTTTGCCTCTTCGGAACTTTTCGCTCGATTCACCTTCATGAACGGTAGATGGCGCACAATGATTAAAAAAAAATCGGTACAGCCATTGGAATGAGATCGCCCCGAGAAACACGGAGGGGACGGGGGTGGGGGAGGCAGACGTCGCACCCCACCCGCTCGCGGGGAGTGGGGAGGGGGAGATCAGCCCCCACCTAATGGGGGGAGGGGGAGATCAGCCCCCACCTAATGGGGGGAGGGAGAGATCAGCCCCCACATAATGGGGAGTGAGGAGATCAGCCCCCACCTAATGGGGAGTGGGGAGATCAGCCCCCACCTAATGGGGAGTGGGGAGATCAGCCCCCACCAAATGGGGAGTGGGGAGGGGGAGATCAGCCCCCACCTAATGGGGAGGGGGAGATCAGCCCCCACCTAATGGGGAGTGGGGACGGGGAGATCAGCCCCCACCTAATGGGGAGTGGGGAGGGGGAGATCAGCCCCCACCTAATGGGGGGAGGGGGAGATCAGCCCCCACCTAATGGGGAGTGGGGAGGGGGAGATCAGCCCCCGCGTAATGGGGAGTGGGGCATTTTTTATTGGCCGGTATAACTTTAAAAAAAAATTGCAATCATCATATAAAAGCAATACACAGCAAACAACAACAACAATACACAGCAAACAACAACAACAATGCACAGCAAACAACAACAACAATACACAGCAAACAACAACAACAATACACAGCAAACAACAACAACAATACACAGCAAACAACAACAACAATACACAGCAAACAACAACAACACTACACAGCAAACAACAACAATACACAGCAAACAACAACAACAATACACAGCAAACAACAACAATACACAGCAAACAACAACAACAACAATACACAGCAAACAACAACAACAATACACAGCAAACAACAACAACGACAATACACAGCAAACAACAACAACAATACACAGCAAACAACAACAACAACACACAGCAAACAACAACAACAATACACAGCAAACAACAACAACAATACACTGCAAACAACAACAACAATACACAGCAAACAACAACAATACACAGCAAACAACAACAACAACAATGCACAGCAAACAACAACAACAATACACAGCAAACAACAACAACAACAATACACAGCAAACAACAACAACAATACACAGCAAACAACAACAACAACAATACACAGCAAACAACAACAACAATACACAGCAAACAACAACAACAATACACAGCAAACAAGAACAACAACAACAACAATACACAGCAAACAACAACAACAATACACAGCAAATAACAACAACAACACACTGCAAACAACAACAACAATACACAGCAAACAACAACAACAATACACAGCAAAGAACAACAACAATACACAGCAAACAACAACAACAACAATACACAGCAAACAACAACAACAACAATACACAGCAAACAACAACAACAATACACAGCAAACAACAACAACAACAATACACAGCAAACAACAACAACACACAGCAAAGAACAACAACAATACACAGCAAACAACAAAAGGCGCACAACTCAAAGATGGTGCATTGTCTCGGGTGTGGACCAATCAATTTCAAGGACAGTGCCACATACATGATTGTGTTTTGTTTGCGTTTTCGACCGCTGGTATTGTAGTCAATGTAAACATGACTCCTTGTAAAAAAAGGTGTCAGTTTTGTTGCCAGATAAAAGGGTAAAAAAAACAATGATCATATTTTGTTACTGGCAAATGAGGTTTCCAATGATGATTTAGGTTATACTGGTAGGAACGAAGTTGTAAACTG